ACATCTCTTTCTTTAAAGAGGGAAACAAAACCAGACTAGATCGGTATCATCAACTATAAATGGCATGCAGGAAGAATTTTGTAAAATGGAAAATCACAATGTTGCTCAGTGGTGAGAAACTCCCCATCCCTTCCAGCTGAGGACACGTCACTGGAAAAGTCCCAGCCTGGGAAAAAAAAAAATCCACTGAGTAAACATTGCATAGGCAGCGAAAACAGAAAGTGGAGCAAAGTCAAATGATACTTTGGCTTTAAAGGAGTTTATTTTCAGGTTAGCATTTCCTTGAATGGCATCAGCTCAAGTTCAGACAAGAAAAATCTCATTAGAGTGAAAATGGTTGGTAAACTTCACTGCTGATATTAGGCCATTGAAAGAAAGCTTACTTATTAAAAATCTAGGATTTCAACCTGGGAGTTCTTGAATTTTCAGCTACTGAGTGTAGTAAAATAATCCCACTGACAAACCAGATACCCAGGATTGGGCAAGTTTGTGGATATTTTTTTTCCCCTTAATTTACATGTATTTCTAGACAAAGAAGTCCTTAACTAAACCCTTCTGAACAACTCCCTGGGCATGGCTCTTTGTCTTGCAAACAAGTTCAGTGGTGAGAATTTTTGCAGCTTGTCTTTAAAGAAAACAAGGGGAAAACTTCCTCGGTGGCAATCAGTCAAGAAATACAGTATTGGATAAAATTCTAGGATCCTTACCTCTCTAACTAGCATTCATAAAAACAAAAATACAGACATTAATTACTACCCTTCTCCGATAAAAATCTACTTTCAGCAAAGGTACTTCATAGTAGTTAATCACAGCAACGTTAACTCAAATTCTGGAAACAATTACAGTGGCAGCACTTTGTAGCTGTAATCAAGGAAAATAATCAAGTTAGTTTTACCTTTGCTTTTCTGCTCCCCCACTTAATGAGTGCTGCTGCATCCCGGCCTAAGCACATGACAGTCCAACCCTGCTAGCAAACATATTCACATTCTCTCAGACTTCGGAAGAGGATCAATTAAGAGTTTTTGGGCAAAGAGGTTATGAGTTTTTTGTCTGTTTATCGTATAGTTTCTAATGTGTATAAATAGCAGAAAGGAACCAGAACTTCAGGAATTTTTCAAATTTCGATTATCATTTTTCCTGTTTCAAGATAAGGGTAATGTTACTGATGTTGCAACGGGGCACAAGGATCTTGACTGCTAAGGTGGAAGCTCAGGGCTCAAGTCTATTGATCCCATCTCTAGTTTTGGAGCTTCAATAACAGAGAACAACAGTGACAAAAGCTTTCCTGAGGCACTAAGCTGAAGGGGCAAAAGTGAAATTCAGTCGTGTTTCAATTCCTGCATCTGACGCAGTTACTGCGTTAAGCTTTCTAAAAGAGAAGTGCCATCAATTTTCTGTGTGCTCTTACATGCATGGCAGGAGGTTCCAGGATGTGGCTAGGCTGGGGACAATGCCAGAAGTACAGACAATGCTCGGGAAAATGTACTAATTGGACTAATTTACAATTTTTAAAGGAATGTTCTTTTCTCAAAGTAATTTTCAGGCAATAAAACCAGGTTGTGACAGTATTGTAAAGATGATCTGCTGTTCTTTAAAAGTTGTTTTTTTCATGAGTACACACTAGGGTTGACCAGGACAAGGTAGTGTGGCATCTGACAGCCAGAACCTGTCTTATGTTGGATGACACCTATTGCAAGAGATGTCTGTCTTAACACTATTTTCAGTTTTGGCTAACACAGTTTGCTAGAAGAGTTGATCTCACTCCTCTGGAGAGCAGTTATTAATTTGGAAGCTTTGCAACTTTTTGTCTTTTGGTAGTACAACCATGCTGTTTGAAACCATTTCAAAACAGTTGCATCTGCAATGCTAAGAGGTTTGCTCTTGGATTCAACTCACATGCTGTTCCTCACGCTGGTAACTCAGTCAAGACTTTACTCATGGGAGTAAGTACCACCTAAAAGCTGCACATTGCAGCCAAAAATTTTGTGCATTTTAGATACAACACACACACAAAGTTGAGGTATTTACTTACTGAACATTTAATGCAGTTAAGCAACACTGGAAAAAAAAGTGTTGGCGAAGTTCATTCTTGCTTTGTGTGAGCAGGTTTTTTCTCAGCTGCAGTAAGGTTTTATGTGGTAAAGCTTCTTTAAATAGCACGGACATAGAAGTGGATCAGAGTCGGGAAACAGAAAACCTCACAAAGGAGGGAAGACTAAAAATGCACTGAATGAAGCAGAACCAACCATACCTTAATCAGAAAAAGGATTTCCACAGTCAGACCTCACACTTGAAAAAAAAAAAATTATCAGACTAAGCCAATTCCTAATGGAGTGGTGGTTCTCCGACTAAAGAAGTAATTTCTAGTCCATAAATAAGTCTGCATCTGGCTTTGCTTAGTGCTATGCACATAATTATATTTTGTTAGTTTTCTTCCCTGACCTTGCCCATCTTGTTACAATGAAAGTTCACCTGGCAGCTGATAAGGAAAGCAACCAATTGTAACACTGACTAACCAAGAAAATATATGGAAGCCATTTGAAGGTCTTGGAAAACCCAAACATGGTTTTACACTGCTCACCCACAGACTAAGCAAGAAAGGCTAAAAGAACTTGTAAGTTTTCACTCTCAACATCCAAAAGCTGGAAGGTGCTAGAATTAACACAGGATGTTCACAAGAAAGCCCAGACTAGGGGCAGTACAGAGGGTATGGCTGCAGAAGGAGCAGCTTCACCAGAAGCGACAGGGCTGTACGTAGGTCACAGGGATTCACAAGGGATTTCAAGAGCAGGGCTTCAGCCACCAGAGCTGCGCTGACACCGACGCTGGCAAGTGTCACCATTCCTGCAGTAATGGAGGCTGGTATGGACAGGGGGGCTGGAAACCACGGCAGCCATGGGCTTACCAACCGATACCAATTGTGGGGCACAGAACAGGCTGACATCAATTTGGCTCTGCCTGCCCCAGGGATGGCAAAGGCACAAGGCAGACACCAGGGAACAGGAGTCACTTCAACACTCAGTTAAATCTGCCCTTCAAAAAAGCTGATGTGTTCAAAAAATATTAAAAAAACAAACCCAAACAGCATAATTACTGCTTTCTTCATGCTTGCAATTCACTAGTCAGTCATTCCTTTTTCATCACATGAATGACATCACTGTCAGAAATGACTGCCTGAGGACCTAGACTGAAACCAGCTCTGCAATCACATTAAAAGGTCTCTGTGCAGATGCAGAAGCAGAGCTTAAATTAGTTTTCAAATTATTTTTCCAAATAAGAAACACAGTAAGTGAAACACCTCAACAACAACGAATCACTAACAATTAAAAACATAAAAGTAATAACTTTATTCTACAGACTCAACAATTTTAGTAGTGAATTAGCATTGCATGAAGATGACTGAATATGAAATACTATCAAAACCCAAGAGTGTAGTGAAACACTTTAAAGGCTTCACCTTAGCTTGTGTGAGTGAACAGTAGCTGTACATATGTGGCTACACAAACAAGCTTGCAGATCTTTCCCGTACATTTCAACAGTGCTCGCAAATTGTGCAAGATCAACCTTTGGTGTTCACTCTTGGTGTAAACCAAACACACTTAGCAAAACTACTGCATCTGCATAACAGATGAGCTCAAACTTTCCCTGGAATAACAAAACTATTAAAAGTGCAGCTGCTGCTGTGGTATTAAGCAATCTTTAGTGTCTTCTAGGCCCATGGGATGCAGCAGCAGTTCAGTTCTTTTTCTTCCCCCTAACTTCTGTTAGGCCTCTGGTCCCCTCCTGGAGCCACAGCTATTCCCCAGCACACAATAGCAGAGAGAGCCCTACCTTGGCACAGCCCAATTCCAGTCTTATCCCGTTGCTAGGGCTACAAGGCCACACATGAAACACACCCCTGTGCTGAGGGAAAGACATGGCCATGCCGAGGGGCTCAAAACAGGCCAGAGACTGGCATCGTGCAAAGCAGGGTGGCATGAACATTAACTATTTTGTTATAATTCAGTATTGTCTGCATGCAGAAGCACAGGGTATCAGAGTGTCCATCCCTCACCTGGCATTTTTGAGGAGATTACGGTGAGGTAGCAGTTCTGCCCATCGTAAACCTGTCTGCTCTTCAACCACAGGCACAGGACTAGAGCAGTATTTCTGGCTACCTTCATTCTAGTGTTTTTATGAGCCACTGGTCACCAAAAGCACTATTACACTTACATAAGACTATTGATCGTTTTTCTGCTGAAATCTTGTTACAGGGACATCTGCGACCTAAAGAGATTGCTAAGAGCATCACCTAAGAGGCTTTTTGCATAGGAACATTAGCAAGCAGAGAATTCAACTACTTTCAGGTCTCAGAGGAAACGCTCCCTGATATAGCAAAAACACTTCTGCACACTGTGATGCGTATACAAAAGCTTCAAGTTATACAAATAAATTATTCCAAAGCAGTCATTTTATGTGAGTCATACACCCACGTAATGTACTTTGTATTCCTCATGTAATTAAATATTTTCCCAACTGGAAAGAAAAAAAACCCAAAAAACAAAACAGCAATCTACAAAATAACAGGATCGTTTCACAGTGATGACATTTAAACTTTCACACCGTGAAAACCGTAAAGATTAATAGAGGCAAAGCACATTTCATCTGAAAGCTTTTATTTAGAACTTTGCTTATGATTTGTTTTTATCTGAATCTCAATTATCTTCCATGGACTTTATATTCTTCTCAGAAAACAAGTGTCTTGGCTATATGTATTAAACTTACTCTTATCTTAAAACTGTGTCCTGTAAGAAACAGTGGTGTTCAGTGAGTTTATTTGGTGTGAAAACATAGGTGAGAATTACTCTTCAGACTCCAACTACAAATAAGCACAGATGCCCGTAAGCATCAAGCAGGTACCCAAAATAATTTTGACTTTGATTAAAAAAAAAACAAACCTACTTTTAATTAAGACTCATTAGTTTCTCTTAGCCCTCAATAAATAGAAAGCGTAAGGCATGTGGAATCCAAATTCTTTAATGGAGCTGAAGCTAAAAAGCACCATCTGCCATGTACCCCGCGGTTTTCAACCGGGCTTTCTCCTTCGTCCGTCGCAAAAATCTCCCTTCGTCCGGACCAACACAGGCGATCTGGCCACTGCTGCCGGCAAGTCACGCACGGGGGAGAGCGAGCGAGGATGTGCAGGCGGGAGCTGCGGACACCGTGAGCCGTGGGGCCGCCGGAGCGAGAGCGCAGCAGCCCCAGGCCCCCGCTGCCGGCACGGCAGGAGCGGCGGCGGGAGCAGCTACTTGCAGAGCCCCTCCAGCCGCTCCAGCGTGCCCTTCATGTCACGGATGCGCTTGGCCAGGGCGGGCACGGGCTGCATGGCGCGGTCCAGCTCCTCGCAGCGCGCCACCAGGGCGTACATGGCGCGGATGCTGAGGTCGGCCGCCTCGCCCAGGCTCTCCACGCCGTCGCGGTAGGTCTGGATGCAGCCGACGCTGAGCGCCGTCAGCGCCTGCAGCCCGCAGTGCACGTTCCGCAGCAGCTCGTCCACCTGCGCCGCCACCTGCCCGGCCAGGGCCACCACGTCCTGCAGCGCCCCGGGGTCGATGGCGGGGATGGAGGACCCGCCGCCCCCCGCCGGAGGCTCGCCCCGCGGGGCGCCGCTCAGCCGGATCCGCCGCTCCAGGTTGTTGGCTACGAACTGGGTGAGGCGCCCCTCGCGCAGCACCGTCCCCTCCAGTTCCAGGGCGCTCGCCAGCGTCGCCCGCCGCCCCTCCGACAGCTGCCGCCCCGCCACCGCCGCCCCTCCGCCGCCGGCCAGGCTGAGCGCCTCCAGGCTCCGCTCGTCCCGCCCCCGCCCCTCCGGCGGCGCGGCGGCTGGGCCCGGCTCCTCCATGGCGAGCTACGCGTGCCCGCCCGCTGCCACCGCCCACCGGGGGCGCGCCGACGCCTGTTTACGTCTCCCGCGATTGGCTGAGAGGCCCGGGGAGGTGCGGCCTCGGCTGTTCGTGCGGTTTCCGATTGGTCGGTGGAGCGGCGTCCGCCCGCCGCGCACTGCGAGCCCGTGACTCGGAGACCGGGGGCGTGCCTGCCCGGATTGGGCGGCCCCCAGGGGAGGCGTGGCCCCGAGTGTTTGTGTCGCTTTCGACTGGCTGCAGCGAGGGCAGAGACACCGCCGCTCCGCCGCCATTGGCGGGGCGCGGCGGAGAGGGGCGGTGCTGGCGCCGTCCGCGCGCGGCGGTTGGCGCGGGGGCGGAAGTGGGCGGGACGCACCCGGGTAACAACACCGGGGAGCTGCTGGTGGCTCGCCTCACTCCCCCGCCATGTTCTCCTAGCGGCGGCTCTGGTTGCGCCACCACTTCCTCACCCCATCACAAAGCCCGGGCAGACCCTACCCAGCAACCCGACCCGCTCGTCCCTGCTTGGGCTTGACCCCTCTCCCCGGCACAACTCTGGGTACCCACGTCCTACCATGGTTACCACCACGGCGCCGCCGCCCTTCCTGGCTCGGATCTCGGCGGGCACCGAAGACCCGCGGCGGCTGCCGCCCTCCGCCCTGCTCCAGCGCCTCCGGCGCGGGGACAGCAACTGCGAGAACCAGCCCAGCTGCTGCCTGGCGGGCCCGGGGGGCAGCGCCCGCCCCGCGCTGAAGAGGGTGCGGCGGAGGAAGGGAAAGATCCGGCCCGGCCCCGCGGGGCTCCTGCCCAGCCGCTACCAGCAGTACCAGCAGCACCGCGCCGGGCTGGGGAGACGGACGCCGCTGGGAACCGACTTGGTGACGGACGCCGCCCCGGAGGAGCCCCCTGCGCCTGCCCCCTCGAGACCCGCGCCCGGCAAACCCCTCAGGAAGGAGGTAAAGACAAGGCTGCGCTACTTCTCCTCACTTCAGCCCGCTCCCGGCGAGCCGGCCGACGGTTCTCCCTTTCCCTCGGGGTGGGGGGGAACAGCGAGCGGGGCGCCCCCTCGGAGCGGTGCGGGGGGGACCGGGCGGGGGGGCGGCAGAGTTTCCGTTACGCTCGGACGGGGCGGGGCGGGGCTGAAAGAGAACCGCGGGCGGCGATTGGCTGCCCGGCGCCCACCAATGGGCGCCCGGCGCTGCGCCCCAGCAACAAGCCGGATTTAGCCCTGCCGCTGGCCGCGCGCCAGCCCCGCCCCGCGCTCGCCGAAGGCGGGACGTGCGGGGCGCGCAGCGCCCCATGGCGGCCGGCGGGGCTCCGCGCCCTCAGACCGCCGGGGCCAGCCGAGCCGTGGGATAAGCGAGAAATAGCGGGGAGAAGGCTTCTCGGTGCCCTTCCCCCCGCCGACGTGGCCCCCGGCGCTTCAGTAAGTGTCGGGGGCGGTGAGGGAGCGCGGAGGAGAGGGGTAGTGGTTGACTTGATTCTTCTTTGTCTCCGCAGTTCTTAAAAAACAAGATGGGAAAGACAGAGAAGGCGGCCGTCCCTTACGGCCAGCCCGTTCACAGCTTACACCTGTGTGAACAACCAAAGATTAACAGGCAGAAGAGTAAGTGTAACACGCCAGTGACGAAGATCGCCTCGGCGAAAAAGATAGAGAACTTTTGGCAGGATTCTGTGTCGCCAGAAATAGTTCAGAAGCAGGAAAAAAAGCCACTTAAAAACACAGAAAACTTCAGAAATGCCAAGTCCAAGAAACCTATCGCCCTAAATGAAGTGAGCCAAAAAGAAAATTACGCTGGGGCAAAGTTCAGTGACCCACCATCTCCCAGTGTCCTTCCAAAGCCTCCCAGCCACTGGGTGGGTGGCACAGCTGAACTGTCTGACCAAAACAGGGAGTTGATGGCAGTCCATTTGAAAACTCTCCTAAAAGTTCAAGCGTAGTTTCCAATATCTCTTGAGTAATTGGCAAAGAAAACTCCATCCAGGAAACTTAAACATGCCTTGTTGCAACAAAAATTGCAAAAGACTGTCAAGTCTTATAATCACATAAAAAAAAAAATCCTTGTATTATATTTTTTATGGTTGTGTAAATAGTGTACATCTTGTATTATGTGTATATTCTTGTTCATACTTTGAGAGGTACATTTTAGTTTTGTTATGAAAGGATGTATTTTGCACTGCCTGATTGGTAGATGTCTTGTATATAAAATATGGACAATTTTACGTGTGTGCTTGACACATGAAGACTTGACTTGCTTTGCACAAGGTAATGAAAATTTTGGAAGGAGAGTACAGCTTTCTGATTAAGGTTCCAGATCAAATGTGAATGTTCTATTTGTGCACTACTGACAATAGTTTTACATTCTGTCTCCCAATCAAGTATAAACATGGAATTCTCATACAAATGTGAAGTTTTGCCCTCTGCTCTGGAAACTATCTGGAATTCCTGTTCATCTGCTCGTTTTTAAAATTAACTGGAATTTGACTAAGATTCCAACCCACCAATTTGAGCACTGCTGATTTCTTTTAAAAAGTTAAAAAAAAAACAGCCAAAAAAAAAAGGACGGAGCAGAGCTTTCTGCCAAAAATTCAATTGGTCACTAAAAAATTAAATAAAACAATTTGGCCTCCCCTTATACGTGTCTCTGTTTTTCTTTGAGTGTGTGTCTGTTAATTCAAGTACGTGAATTTAAATCACTTGATAGCCTTCTAGTGCATTGGTAGAAATACTTAGTGTTTCAACTATCTCGGGGAAAATTAGGAGATTAATAATGCACCAAGAATTCCTTATGTTTAAAAAAAAGCCACCTTTGTGACAAGTCGTTCTAGGATTGTTTTGTTTGTTGAAAATTGAGAGTTCAATCACGTTGGGCAGTTAGACTTTGAGATGCTCCTTAAATGTTTTCATACTACGTGGCTATTGAATGAGTCAACGTGGAAAAGTAAGCAGTGACAGAAAATGAATGGAGCAAGTAGAATTTTGTATTTTTCACCAGATTTGTCTCTTGCTCATAGCTGTGCTGGAAAATACATCCCCCTGACTTAAAATTCTTAAGGAATTGGACTGTGGATTAGTCTGACAGGCATGTGGAGGAGGTAACAGATTTGCAGTTATTTTCCTAATCTAGTGTTTAAATAAGATTAATACTAGGAAATATGTAACATTTACATAAGATAGAAAAGCATTCTTGAGTTTTTGGATCCACCAAAAAAAAAAAAAATACACTGTCTGTACGTGGTGTCCTGGGAGAGGAGAGGCAGGTAGGAAGAAAAGGGCTGCTTGTGTCCGGCTGAGGTGGCTCCCCAGTGCGGGCAGCCTCTCCGGAGATGCAGACTGAGCAGTTAGGTGTGTTCAGGCTGCACGTGCTGCAGCTTTGGTCCAGAGCATCGCTGCATTCCACGTGGGACAATTGGCAGGATTCATTAGTACAGCCCTGACACGAGCTTGGACAAAAGCTTAAAAACTAAGGATTTTTTGGCTTGCTTGTGGATGTTGGTTATGTAATTGTAAAATTAGGCTATTTAGTTATAGATGCTCTAAACTAAGGGTTGATAAAAAATTTTTGGTTTACCTCAAAGAATTAGAGGTTCACTGTCTCGCAAAAGAGGCTGGTATTGGTGTACTCGAGGTCAGTGTGTGGCTTCAACAACCCAGTTTCCTGCCTAATCTAAATACTCTCTAATTTAGTGTCCCCCATCTTCTATTCTAAAAATGAACAAAACCCCTCCTGGTTTTCTGTTTGTGGGATTTTTTTAAATAAACAGTATTAGGGCGAAGAAAAATACCACTGGAATCTCGCCGAGGATGACTCAAGGAGACTGTAAGTCCGAGTTTGCTATATTTGGTAAAGGCTGTATTGATCTGCCGTTGTGCTTTTTTTTTTGTTCCCTTTTGCTTGAGTGTCACCCATGTGCAAAGCAAAATGCCTAAACAATCACCCATAGCTTTAGGCAATGGTTAGTTTTGTCTGGTCCCCGTGAATCTTGCTAACTAGCTTGACAAGAGGGCGTTTCCATCAGCCAGTGGGTTGGCATTGTTTGGAAGGATGTGTCCTTTATCCCCCTGATTATTATCTCATTGCCAACAGCCTCTTCCTTACCTTTCGGAGCTTACTGAGTGAATGCTAGCTCTGATCCTGGATAAAATTTATCAAAGTCACATACCTCTTTGTTCCTGCCCTGATTTGCCAACACATCCCTTAGGGTTAAGGAATTCATTAAATGTTAATTGCTAGTAGTTCTCAGCTCCTTAGTCAATTCTTTGAGAGCTGGTGGTTGAGACTTCTTAAGCAGTCGGGAACTTAAAACTTCCCATAACTTGTTGGACCGTAAAGGGTAAGATAACAATCTGGTCTTTCTGAACAGTAGCAAAAACCCTGAAGCTTATTTAGCACATGTCTGTGTCAATGATCCCGCAGAAGTGTTGGAGCACTTAATGTTTCTGTCTTCCTGGGATCTTTGGGCTGATTCCCTTCCTGCACAATGGACAGGTTTGTCTATTAGGCCTATGGGCGACATGCACTTCAACATGACCAGCTGAAAAGAAGAACGTGGCCATCATTTAGGACCGTATTCTGGACCTTACTTGTCACTTTCCTGCTTTTTTTCTTTTGTGTTTCCACAATATCATCTTATAGGGTTTTTCACTCTCGAGATTTCCTTCACTTTTACAGATTGCTTATCCCAGTTTCCCGAAAAGGAGCCACTCTATTACATGAACGTACTCTTTTTTGAGTTCAGAGCCAGCAAAACATTAGTGTCATATTTGGAGGGCTTGTTTGCAGTGTAATATAAAATTATGGAGTGACACTTAAGGAGTGACCAGCCTTTAAGGAAGAAAATGAACAAAATTAGTGGATGTGTTATCAGCTACTCATGTGTTTGCTGTACAGGAATTAAATAAATACCTTATTAAACTGAGGTCATTAAGGAGACTGAACATTATCTCCTCAGATAATGGAAACCCTTTCTGTTTGAAAGCCTAGTGAAATGCTGTGCAGAACTGCAGGGGAATCTACTGAGAATTAACTACCACCTTACTTTTAAACAGTTAAATGTTATGCGTTGATGGTCCTGAAATTTAGCTCTCATGGAGGACAGAAGTATCTGTTGTTGGGTTCTCATGCGTGGCTAAGGCTCAGCCCATTAGGCAGCTTCATTAATAATGGCTGGCTTGGTGCTCTAAGGCTGAAATGTTTCTGCCTCCTAATGCAACAGGAGCTAGAAGTCCTATGTGCATTTGAACTCTGTTACACCAGGATCTCTTCAGAGATTTTGCTGAATTCTGCTGAATACTTAAACAATCTGCATATGAGACTGTAAATTTAATTTAATTCTGTCTGATTAATATTTTATCCAAGGCATGTAATTTTACACAGTACTTTAATTATTTTCAGATTATTTTTTTAAGATTTTGCATTATAAAACTTTTGATAACTGTCACACGAGGATTTTTTTTCTTATTTAGACAGTTTTGAAACCAAGTAAAAAGCTGTGTAGATTATATAAAGCCTGAAGATTATAGATGATGTTCCATTGCAATTTTGAAAATAAGTTTACCTTTATTTTCTACATAGA